CGGCTATTTTTTGGTTGCAGCCGTCATTGTTGTTTGGCGGGTCGGGCTGGGGATTCGAACCCGCCACCTTAGGTGTACGTGGCTGGCGCCTTAGCCGGCTGAGCTATAGGCGCCGAGCCAGATCTTTCATCTCTTAATGGCTTCATAAATACCTATTTCAAACAAATAATGCATATGAAAAAAGCCAAATATGATGCAGTATTCTAGTAATGTCATAAATTAACAAATCATTATATAAAATATGAAATGGGTATTTTCTGAAATAAAATATAAGCCTTTGAGTTACAAATAAGACAAAAGAAAAAAATGACTATAAGGAGTAATTCTGTCTAATTCTTTAAGTGGCAGATATGGCCATCCACAAAATAATTTAGAACAGTGGTTCTCAACCTTCCTAATGCCGCAACCCTTTAATACAGTTCCTGTGGGTCGCGACCCATAGGTTGAGAACCACTAATTTAGAAGATGAACAACATGCCCACGGATAATTCAGAATCAACTATACAGAAAAATTTAACCATAGTATTTAATCTCAATTGTATTTGTATAAATTACCAAATTTATTTCTTTTTGGGCAGTAATTTAAACTACTGTGACCATCTACTCTAATATACAACATGAAAATGTATATAAATTTTAATATAAGCTTAGGCAAAACAGGATGATTAATTTCAAGAAGATAATATGGTATATTTCAAAGTCAAAATTTAAAAAACTTGAAGATTTACTTTTTGATTCTGTACACTATTTGCTGTCATTGATCTACATAGCTGAATTATTTGTAGTTTAACTATTATCTCCTTATCTTATTTCCTAGCTTTCTCTTGTCATGTCACCTACTTACCAACCTAAATCACTCATTCCCAAACCTTCATCCACTTCCTTTTCTACCTATTCTCTCTCATCTAACTACCAGATTGTTTATTCTTTGAAGTTGAGATATGTATGTAGGTGTATTTACCAAAACCTATTTTATTTTACATAGCACAGAGATCAGCAATTATCCATAAGGAGTCTGAGCCAGAGTGAGTATTAGGAAGTGGGTATGTATGTGATCCCACAGCCAAGATACCACGAAACAACGAGAGAATGGCCAAGAAAGTGTTAACATGCAAAGTTCAAAACTGACTGAAGCACAAAGAAATCCCCACGCGATAGGAAATTATGAAAATCCTTGTGCAGACTTTCAGGTGCAATGTGGTCTCAGAATCTCTCAAATTTGCCCTAAAGTTCTAGGCATGGAGGAGGGTCCTACAGTATGGTTGTTCACAGGCCGTGTTACAGAATACCTTAGGTAGGCGGCCACTGTAGCTTTCGGTCCTGAATTTCCAAGAAACACTCACATTATTTCTAAAGTCAAATTTAATAGGTTTGTTCACCCCTTGCTATATACATATATGCCTAGCACAGTGCTAGGTACTGTGGAGGAACACAGCCACGTGTGCCACCTAGTTCTTACTATCCAGAAGGTGCAAGCTTAGCTGAGGAAAGAGAACTATACTGAAAATACATCACGACCAAAATGATAAAGATAGAAAACTATCAATTAACTGCCATGGAAGTGGGAATTACTCAGAGCTTTAAAAGATGGGTTATGATTTTGATTAAGGAGAGGTAGGAAAGGCCATTACAGGAGGAAGTCATAATCTATTCTCTGCTTTTCATGACGCTAAAAATTCCCTCATCTGTCTATTAGTGCTTTCTCTGAATCACAGGTCCACTGTTCCTCCTTTTTATTACTCTGAGTGTTTACTAAGGTGTTTTTCTTGGTCTGTTGTTTATTTATTGTGATTCAAAGGATTTTGGCTCAGAATTTTAATTTCCAATTGCCTTATGGTGATATTATAAACTTTCCTATTGGCTCGGTGCCTGTGGCACAAGCAGCTAAGGTGCCAGCCACATACACCTAAGGTGGCAGGTTTGAATCCAGCCCGGCCTACCAAACAACAATGACGGCTGCAACCCAAAAATAGCCAGGCGTTGTGGCGGGCGCCTGTGGTCCCAGCTACCTGGGAGGCAGAG